GCCTACTCCATTGTTTTTGCATGGGGGCCGGAGGACATGCCAGGAATTGACCGAAGGGTTATCACCCACCGCCTAGCGGTGGACCCTTCGGCCAAACCAGTGCAGCAACGAAGAAGACTCCTCTCGGCCGAGAGAAGGGAGTTCGTGAAGAAGGAGGTATCTATGCTCCTCTCCATCAAACACATTAAGGAGGTGAAATACCCTTCTTGGTTGGCAAACGTAGTCCTCGCACAGAAGCCTCCTACCTTCCGCATGTGCGTGGACTACACAGATCTGAATAAGGCGTGCCCTATGGACCCCTTCCCTCTGCCAAACATTGATCAACTGGTGGATGAGACCGCGGGATGCGAGATCATGTCATTCCTCGACGCGTTCCGCGGATATCATCAAATCTACATGCATGAGGAAGACGCTGAAAAAACCGCCTTCATGACACCCGAAGGCATCTTCTGCTATCTTGTGATGGCCTTCGGCCTAAAAAATTCGGGCGCCACCTACACACGCATGGTGGCTAGGGTCTTTCAAGCTGTCCTAGGACGCACTATGGAGGCTTACGTTGACGACATGATCGTCAAAAGCAAGAAGGCAAGCACTCACGCCGACGACCTCCGGGAGATTTTTGCCATCATGCAAAAATTCAACCTCCGGCTAAATCCAAAGAAGTGCACCTTCGGCGTGCAGGGAGGGAAGTTCTTAGGCTACATGGTCAGCCGAAGGGGTATCGAGGCCAATCCCGAGAAAATTCAGGCCATCATCAACATGGAGCCCCCACGCAACGTCAAAGAAGTTCAGCGGTTGACGGGTCGCCTGGCAGCCCTCAACCGATTCCTCTCTAAGTCAGCCGAGAGGGCCCTCCCCTTCTTCCAAATCATGAGAAAGACAGCGGGCTTCCAATGGACATCTGAATGTCAAGAGGCCTTCGACGAACTTAAGAAGTACCTCTCTTCTCCCCCAGTGCTCTCCAAACCGAAGGTGGGGGAGACTTTATACTTATATCTTGGTGTTAGCCCTTCGGCCATCAGCTCAGTGCTAATCCGGGAGGAAGACGGCGTCCAACACGCCATCTTCTACGTCAGTAAGACCCTCCGGGAAGCCGAACTCAGGTATTCTCCCGTCGAGAAGACGGTGCTAGCCATCGTTTGGACCGTCAAAAAGCTTGGCCACTACTTTCAAGCTCATCCGGTCCAAGTGCTCACACATCAACCCCTCGGCGCCCTCATGAGGAGCCCCACAAGTTCCTCCCGCATGGTGAAATGGGCCATCTTCCTCAGCCAATACAACATAGATATCCGTCCGAGGCCGGCCATTAAGGGCCATGCCCTGGCAGACTTCGTAACGGAATGCACCGCAAGATCAACAACAGACGAGGAGCCTTCGGCACCCCTCGATGAGTGGTGGACACTCTATACCGACGGCTCCTCGGCTACCAAAGCATGCGGAGGGGGAGTAGTTCTGATCACACCCGAGGGCTTCCGCGCCTATTATGCCATCCGCTTCTCCTTCAAAGTCTCCAACAACGAGGCCGAATACGAAGCCCTCCTCTGCGGCCTTCGGTTGGCAGCGAATCTGAAGGCTAAAATGATCCACGTCAAGTGTGACTCCAAACTCGTCGTGGGTCAAATTTCCGGAGAATACGAAGCCAAAGAAGGGAGGATGAAACAATACAAAGAAGCGGCTAAGGAGTTGCTCAAAGTGTTTGAGGCACATTCTCTTACCCAAATACCGAGGGCTCAAAACTCTGAGGCCGACATTCTATCCAAGCTCTCGGATGAATCCCCCGAACACCTCTCAAAAATAGCAAGAATTGAGGAACTTAGCCTCTCAAGCATCCACGCTAGCCCCGTCATAAGCATTAACCTGAGGCCGGAGGATTGGATCTCCGACATCATCACCTTCATCACCACGGGGCAACTACCCCAAGACGAAGCCCGCGCCAAGTTGACAAAACTAAGGGCTCCCAGCTACACCCTCGAAAACGGGAAGCTTTACAAGAGATCTTACAACGGCACCCTCCTTCGGTGCCTTCATCAAGGTGAGGCCGAAGTCGCCATGGAGGAAGTACACAGTGGCACTTGCTCAGCTCACCAGGGACCCTTCTCCATGTCCCGAAGGCTCATAGTTCAGGGCTACTTCTAGCCCACGATGGCTAGAGATTGTGCTGATCTAGCCCGAAGGTGCACCGCTTGCCAACACTTTCAGAAGGCCCCCGGCAGACCAGCGGTCAACTATGCTCCCATCAGCACCGCTATACCTTTCTCCAGATGGGGGATTGACTTAGTGGGCCCTCTGCCGAGGGGTACCTCCAACAACAGATACATCATTGTGGCCATTGACTACTTCACCAAATGGGTAGAGGCCGAACCCCTCGCCAGCATCACGGAGGCCCGGTGCCGCCACTTCGTTCTCAAAAATATTCTCACGAGGTTTGGCGTCCCCCAACAAATCATCTCTGACAACGGGACTCAATTCGAGGCAGCCCCCTTCTGTGCCCTCCTGGAGGAATGGGGCATCAAACACACCTTTTCATCCGTTGCCTACCCTCAGGGCAACGGACAGGTAGAAAATGCCAACCGCACCCTCCTCGAAGGGTTGAAGAAGAAGCTGGAAGCCGAAGGGGGAGGCTGGGTAGAAGAGCTACACAACATCTTATGGGCCTACCGTACCACCCCTCGGCGTGCAACGGGCGAAACACCCTTCTCCCTATGCTATGGCTTTGAGGCTAAGGCTCCAACAGAAGTGACCCTTCCTACCCGAAGGGTGGAACAATATGAGCCCGAGGTCAACGAAGCCAACATGGCCCTCGACCTTCATCTAATCTCGGAACGCCGAGAGCAAGCTTTCCTCAGGGCCGAAAACTATAGGAGACAAGTCAAAGGCTACATCGACGCCAAGGTCCGCTCTCGGGAATTCCAGGTGGGAGACTACGTTCTACGACGAAGGGAGGCCAGTCTACCCACCGAAGGAGGAAAGATGGCGCCCAAGTTTGAAGGCCCCTACATCATCTCAGCCATCATCAAACCAGGGACATACAAGCTTAAACGTCCCAATGGGACGGAGGTCCCTAGACATTGGAATGTGCACCACCTCGTCAAATTCTATCAATAAGGCATGAGCGGCCAAGCCCTCATCCTCAGCAAGTGTAAATATCAATGACCCAAGGCCCCATCTGTTTTTGAAGAATAATCAAAAGGCCAAGCCTTCATCACCTACATATTGTATAATCGGCCCAAGGCCCCCCCCCCCCCTTCTCTCCTACAAATGAGTGGCCAAGCCCTCATCGCTTCACCAAAATAGGCCCAAGGCCCAACAATTTAAGTATCAAGTACCAAGTACCAAGTACCAATTTAGGGGGAACAACAATTTAGGTACCAAGTACCAAGTGTATGGGTCACCCCCATCACCATTTGAAAACAAGTGTTTCCTCAAACTTTTACATACTCTCCTAAAAAAAAAAAAAAAAAAACGGGGGGTACAATACCCCTCGGCTCCGGCTGGTACCAAGTGCCCCCGGCTATTTGTGTCCCACACACAAATAAAACCCTTCCCAGGAACGCTTTCCGCGCCATCCCCCAAGGGGAGGCAGGCAACGGACCATGTCCCGGGCCCAGGATTCGACTTCCACAAACGAAACGCTCCCCGCGCTATCCCCCAAGGGGAAGCAGGCAACAGACCATGTCTCGGGCTGAGGGGACGACTTTCAAAACCGAGGCGCTTTCCGTGCTATCTCCCAAGGGGAAGCAGGCAACAGACGATGTCTCGGGCCGAGGAAACGACCCTCAAACCCTTCGGGATATCGGAAGGTCATTCCCGAAGGGGGAGCCGACGGTTTATTCCGTCGCCTCCCGTATAGGCCAAGCCTTTCCTAGAAACCAAGTTTCTAGATGCCTCTCCTACATCATTTAAAAAAAAAAAAGAGAGAGAGAGAGAGAGAGAGAGAGAGAAAGATGTGTAGGGGGGAAGGAACTCCTTGGATGATATTCTTCCCGGAGGCTCAACACTTCGGATATCTATTCCCGAAGGCTGCTACAAATGCACAAGAAAATCCCTCAACAACAAGTCATCTGACTACATAGCCGAAGGCTTCGCTATATGAAACCTTGGAGTACAAGATTTCCACCGGGGGCCCAAGAAGAAGGCTCACTAAGCAAAACTTCACCTAAATCTGGCTAAGGCCGAAATCCGGCTGGATAGAAGTCAACTATGTGACATGCCGAAGGCTCCACAAAGTTCTAAGGCAAGCTAAACCTATATCTGCACAAACCGGAGGCCTCATACCGAAGGCAGAATGTCACCAGGCTCATTCAACGATAAAAAAAAATTTCTACGTCCACACATTGGCATCCTTTGGGAAACACTCATCGGACTGGGGGGCTCATATGTACCGGGGGCTCATGTAGTTCCCACGCTCGAATCCCTCGGCAACCATATGTACCAGGGGCTCATGTAGTTCCCACGCTCGAATCCCTCGGCAACCATATGTACCAGGGGCTCATGTAGTTCCCACGCTCGAAGGTCCACTACAGCACCTATTAAAAGTTCGTGAAAAAATGGTCAAGTCCACAGACGGGAACCCTTCGGGGGGCTACACTGCCAATCAAGGGCCCAGCATTTCCGGGGGCATAGGATGCAATTTCACCTAGTGGAATTCCTAAGTCTAATTCATTTTATCCCTCGGCCTCACTACTACGAACATCCTAAGGGGGCTGATTCTACACTACGACCGGAGGCCCGCGACAAAAGTTCTCACTTAGAAAATTTTCTAAGTCCACAATCACAAGCCCCCCGGTTGTTCTACTCTACACCCGAAGGGTTCTGATGAGGTCTTACTTAGAAAATTTTCTAAGTCTACAACGGCGGCCCCCCGGTGATACCACAATATGGCCGGGGGCTAGCAAGGAGTTACACTTGGAAAAATTTACAAAGTCCACAAACTTGTGGCCTTCGGAAAACCAGAGAGAAGAAAGGAAAACATACATTCATGCATACACAAACATAAAAGAGGCGAAGGCATTCATCCATACAAAAGGACCGGGGGCAATCATTCATTCCACAAGAAAAGTGATTAAAACGTATTTCAATTACAAAAACATGGCCGAGGCCGAGAAACTACGAACTATTACAGATTTTGATTTGGGAGAACTCCTAACTTCGGACATCCTCGGCAACAATCTCTTTCAGCCTGGAGGTAGCATCGTCCCCAGCCTCCTCCTCGGCATCTCCGGCCTCCATTAGCAGCTCAGAATCCTCGAGGTCTGGCCTCTCTTCGTCCGGGGGGAGGGGGTACCCTGACATCCGGCTGCAGAGGGGGTAGGCCGTAGGATGCGGGGTCAAACTCTTTCGCCTCGATCTTCAGGTGGCGGGCCAGCCTTCGGTACACGAGGCGTTGAGTAAAGAACTCTCCGCCATCGTAGTAGTCTTTACCCTTCCGGGCCAGCCATTCAGCCCCGGGGCCCGCCACCCAAGCGTCCACAGATTGCTCAATGACCGAGGCTAGCCATTGCTTCCGGCCCTCGGCCTTCCAGCCCTCGGTGACGAAGGAATCCACTGCAGCCTTCCCAGCCTCGGCAATAGCCTCCTTCTTTGCCACCTCGGCAGCTTCGGCGGCGAGCTTGGCGGCAGCACTCGCAGCTTCCTCGGCAGTGGTTTTACCCTTTGCCTCCGCCTCCTTCAGCCTCTGCTCCATACCCTCCTCTGCCGCCCGGAGGGCTGCCTCCATCTCCGTCATCTTCTTCCGGAAGGAGGCATTCTCCTCAACCGCCTTCTTCAAGGCGAGGTCAGCTTGCGCCTTCTGCACACGCAATCTGTCCACCCTCCGGAGTTGCTCTCCGAGCGCCATGGTAGCCTGCAATCACATAAAATATACCGAGGGTCAAGATGAGCAAAGGAAGAATGCCAAGGCAAATCAATTGAGTAAAAAAAAAGGGGCGACGGAACTTACGGTGACAGAAGCTTGCATGATCCTGCAGTCGAGGACATCATCCTCGTACTTGGACAGCACAAGCCTGTCCTTTGAAGGGATGACCCCCCTCATAAACTCCAAAGGGTCGAGAGACCCAAGCATGACGGCGTTCCCCTTCTTGAGGGGAAAATGGACTTCCTCCCGGGGCCACGTTGTCTCTGGGTCCGCGGGGGAGCGCAGAGTGGTCACCCACCCCATCTGAGGCTCGGGGGAAGAGGGCTGATCATCCACGACCACCAAAGGGGCATCTTTCCCGGGGGCGATCTCCACCTTCTTCTGTTTTTTCTCCGGGAGCGATACACCCTTCCCGGACCGCTTCCTTTTCAGCTCCTCTGCTTGGGAGCTTCCGGCGTTAACACCGGTGACGACGGGAGCCGCATTTCCCGAAGGCTCCTCTCGTCCTTGGGTCTGGGGGGCCTCGCCCTTCTTGAAGAACTCGTCCACTGGCTTCTGCTGGGACGGCCCATCCTTCTTCTTTGGATCCTTCGCGGCCTTCTTCTTCAGGGCGGCATAAGCTTTGACATCCATGATTTGACCTGAAAGGGAAGGGAACACAAATGTCATACGATGGAGGTAAAGCAAACAAAAGAAAAACAATTACTAAGTGCTAAAGTCATAGGCCCCTAGTGACAACCTCCGGCACTCTGATAGCCCCGGTCAATAGGAGGATATCTTTCGTCCTTCTCCCCTGGCAGACGATACCGCCGGAACCCCAGTTTGAACAGCTCCTCCGGAAGCGTTGCGGCTTTGATTGTCAGCAACTTCTCTGAACCCGGGGGCTTAGCCGTTAATTTCTTGCCGCTACCCTCGAGGACAGCGTTACCGACTTTGAGGTGCCTCCGGAAATGATTGCGGAGGGGACGCGGGAAAGAGGTTCCCGGCATCCTGAGGTAGCAGAAGCGGTCCTTCCACCCCTTATGGGATGAAGGCACCTCAGAAAACAATCTCCACGCCGGCAGCTATTGTAGATTGGCGAAGCCCTCGCTGTTGGCGGCCCCCCCTCGGCAAAGATTGAAGGAAAGAAAGAACTGGTCAAGGGAAGAGTCCACCCCCCGGGAATCACACAATGAGAGAAACCCCGCCAAGTATGAGTGGCTGTTGGGAGTTAATTGGCAGGGGGCAAGGCCCACGAACCTAAGGTACTGCACTACGAAGGGATGCAGGGGGAAACGGAGGCCGAGCTCTACAGACAGAATGTGGACGGAGAAACAGCCTTCGGGTGGATGAGACAACAGGTCTTCCGGTCCTGGTTCCACCACCTGTGCCGAAGGGCCTACAAGAAATTGGGTGGAGTGATAGTCCGAGCTTGTCGCTGTCGTCTTCAGCTCAAGTGCGTCAGTGTTGAGGTACGAATGCCCTTCTGGTATTCCGACGGGCTGCCCGACGTCCACGGCAGCCTGCTTCTTCTTTGAGGGACCCTTCGCCTTCTTCTTCTTACCCGGAGCAACCCTCAGAGGTTCCGGGTTGAGGGGCCGGGAGCTTCCCGCTTCATCATCGTGCCGGGGGGGTGGCACAGCGACGGTCACTCGTCGCCTCTCTTTCTCCTCTTCCTCCTCGGCTACTTGGAGGGCAAGAGCCATCTCCTCATCTTCGGCGACTTGCTCGAATTCCTCCGCCTCTAATTCCGTCCGGAGGTTGCCCTGGATCCTTTCGGCTATGGCTGCATCATCCCCAACCGACAACTGTTCGCTCGAAGAGTCTACCTCCGAAATACTCTCTAGGTGCGCCGAGGGTTCCCTCGATAGGTTTTGTGAGTCGCTCCCGGAAGACATAATATCAGGAGATAGTCGAAGGGTTCGGGAGAGGGATGCTAGAAGCTCTAAACACTAGATCTAAGGCCACAAAGAAAAATATATGAAGAAGCTGAAGAACAGGTTGAGAACTGACCTCGGAAGTAAGGGATTCGATCAAAAGCAGGTGTTTCTCTCTCTAGAAATATTTGGGCAGAGCTTCGCTTAAGAACTATCGCACAATCCAAATGGCTTGGGGCTTGGGTATTTATAGGAAGTGGGCCTCGATAAATGGGCCTCCGTGTAAAAAAAAACCATCATTACACGCCGCCGGTTCAACCAATGGGTGGCACCCGCCAACTGAATCACACCACGTGGAACCCCCCTCCAACGGCTCTTTTCCAACGGCTATGTTACAACCACTATACTTCGATAACACTGGGATGCCCTCGAATGATAGCCTCCGGTTATCACTCTCCGCAGCCCTCAGACAACGGGTTCCACCAAACACCTTCGAGCCTGCGGCAGCATGAGCCCCTAGCTTGTCAATATTGTCACCCCTCGGGTTTGCACCAACACATCATAACTCCTTCATCCCGAACTTGACTTCGGCCTAAAGGAGTGGGGGACTGGGACAAACCCCTCGGTAATCACACGTGCATGTAGCCCTCGGGTACATGCATCATTGCACCCTTCGGTAGAGGCCTAAAATAAAAAATGTTCCACAAAGCCACTGACGATGATGAAGCAGCCCTCATCACAACACATGCAGGAAATACATCTATGCTTCCCTCAGAAAACCCTCGACGTGTGAGGGACTGAGGGAAGCCTTCGACAATCAGCAGAAGGCAGCTCTCAAGCAAAGGCGCCCAACCAAATGATGGAGCCTTCGGAAGAATCAACACATCTACTCCTTTTCCCTCAGGTACCTTTCGGCAAAAGGAGTGAGGGACTCCTGATGGAGTATATGGCCCAGGAACCCCCGGCCCATAGACTCCTACTTCTCCTACACAAGTTCATTGGGCCCAGGGAACAACTCAGGCCCAAAATGCAGCGGCCCAAGCCTCAACGTAGCCCAGAATACGCACTGGGGTGCCTTCGGCCTCCTTGGCCGAAGGCTCCAAACCTCACAGGGTAGCCTTCTCTTGCATAAGAGGCTACTGGGAGAAAACGGCGAAAAACATGAGCCTTCGGCATTATCGAGCCCTCGGCATCAGAGAAGCCCCCGGCTAAACCATGCCTCCGGTCACACAGGGCCTTCGGCTACACAGGGATCCTCGGCTACATAGAGCCCTCGGCAACACAAGGAGCCCTCGGCCAAGCACACTCAATCATCAAAGATTCCTTTTAGAGACAGCCAACCACCGCATTTAATGCCACGTCACATCCGCCAACCGCATTCAATGCGGTAAACGTACCACTGCCGGTGCCAACCGGTTGATGTGACTCTTCGGCCGTTGGATTACTGACACGTGTCCTCTCATCGCATTTATTGCAGCTATAAATAGCAGCCCATTTCTCCTTGTAAATCATCATCTGCACCTTAACTCCACACGCTGAGTTCATTTAATAAATCGACTCTCTCTCCTCCTATTTGCTCTGACTTCCATCATTGTGTTTTCTGAAAGTCACACATGGATTCAGCTGAACATTTGTTCTTCAAGTGTCACTTCACTAGTGTTGTTTGGCAAGAGGTTGGGAAATGGTTGAAAATGAGGGAAAAACCACTATTCTACTTAGTAGTTAGTACTATTAAAATGTGTATAAAGTAGTATAGGGGCAAGGTTCCAAAGCAAGGTTGTTCATAATTCGTATAGCCATGTGTTGTGCAGTTTATATAATATGGAAGGCAAGGAATGAAATGGTTTTTTGCTAGGAGACAAGTCTCTTTTAATAGCCTGTTTTTGGAGATTAAAGTGTTTGTGTACAGGGTATTATTTAGGCTTTACCCGTATTCCATGATTGATTTTTGAGTTTACTAATCCCTATGATGAATGTACAGGTTTGGTTGCTGGTGTTTTGGGCAGATTGGCAGAACTTTGTTGCTGACATGGTGTGTTATTTATAGTGTCATTTCTGAACTATTTATAATAGTTTGTTTGTTGCTGAACTACTTGGTTTAAATTTTGTGTAGGTCTTTGTATTCGTGCAGCACTTGCTGCATGAAGCTTTAGTCTATTTTGATCATGCTTGATGGGGAATGCCTCTGATTATGTAATTAACATTTCCTGGCAGCTTATATATTTACAATTTACCTTTCATCCCCCCAAAATGGTCATATCTTAAATTAATTTTTATACTAATAATAATGAAATTCTAATTTTCTTTTTCTGATGTGCTAGATCAATGACCATTGTGAGGAAATGCCAAGAGATGAAGACAATGAAGTGACATTTTTCCTTGGCATCTAGTTTCATCTGGTTTCAACTGAACAGTTAGCAGCCACTAAATTTGTTCCAGCTCTGTATTATTAAGATTTATTGAATAGTTGTAATTTACTTAAAAGTTAACTTATGTTATTACCTCATTGTATGAATAAATTTTGTTCTGAATTCAAGTTCTATGGCCAGTAATCACTTTAACTATAGTCAAATTTATTGTTCAACTATTCGTATTTAGTGTGTTAAGAAACTCTAAAAGTTTTGCAAAATTTTTAATAATAAGTGCTCGCATTTGATAATACATGTCATAATATATAATGATGTGATTAATTTAATGGAGACAACAGAATAGCATCAACGTATTGTTGTCTCTAAAAGCATAAACAGAAAAGAAATAAATCGCATCTAAAAATAGTGGCAATATGTGGTGTTGCCTCTAATTAAATTTTGAATCAATGTAATTGTGATTGCTTCTAATTATATTTTGAGACAAACAATTCGATTGCTTCTAATGATATTTTGAGACAAGATAATATGATTGCCTCTAAATGTATACGTTTTAGAGTCAGATCTCGGGTTGCCTCTAAAAGTAGTTGTAGAGGCAACCATTATTTAGCGACGGATTAATTAGAGGCACCCTTGGGGCAACCAATAAATTGCCTCTAAAAGTAATTAGAGGCTACTTTTCTATTTTTAGAGGCAATTATGTCCCGCCTCTATAAATCATTTTTGTTGTAGTGACATCAGAACATCATTCTACGGTATTCTGATTAAGAAATGGTAAGAAGTATGATTTCTCATTCTATCTTACCGGAATCCCTCTGGGGTAAGGCATTAAAGACCGCAGCTTACATTCTTAATCGAGTGCCAACTAAAGCAACTACTAAAACACCTTATGAGCTTTGGACGGGTAAAAAGCCTAGTTTAAAGCATTTTCATATTTGGGGTTGTCCAGCTGAGGCAAAGCCGTATAGGCCACATGAAAAGAAACTAGAACCCAAAACAGTTAGTAGTTACTTTATTGGTTACTCGGAACGATCTAGGGGATATAAATTTTATAATCCTGAGGATAAAAATATTTTTGAAACGGGAACTGCCATATTTTTCGAGGATGTTGAGTTTGGGGGGAAGAATAAAGTTAGGGATATTGTCTTTGAGGAAGAATTGATTTCAATACCTGAACCAATTCATATGGATGTTTCTTTTGAAACTAATGAGGAACCTCAACAAGGCATTATTTCATCTTCTCCTTTCCAAACTGAACAAATTGTTCAAAATGAACAAACTCAACTTCCTCTGGAACAAGTGCAACAAGAAAACGTGCCATTGCGGCGATCCACTAGAGAAAGGAGATACGCAATTCCAGATGATTATGTTGTATATCTCCAAGAACATGCATCAAGCATGGATACAGAGAACGATGTC